TAATTGATTCTAACAAAGATTACAATTAACTTATCAAAATAGTTCAAGGTAAAATTAATATATAAAATAGTTTAGGTGTGAAATTGATACTACCCTAATTGTTTAAGGGTATATTTTGATATTTTTGTTATGTATAATTGTAATTACAAAATATACTAAAAAAATATATGTACATGACTATAGCAATCTACAATATCATGATTTTTTTATTGCAATCTTCTATGTACAAATTAATAATTAATTTCTTAAGACTTAATAAGGAAAGAAAAAATTGAAGGCAAAAGTGTCAAATAAAAAGAAATCTCTTGAAGGCAAAAATTAATAATTAATTTCTTAAGATTTAATAAGGAAATAAAAAATTGAAGGTAAAAGTGTCAAATAAAAAGAAATTTCTTGGCCAATCTCAAACTTCCAAGAAAAAAGTTATGTCTAGTTTATCTACTTTGTTTTTTTTTCTTTGCAATCCCTTTAATTTTTATAATTCTAATTTTCATTTAAAAACTTATTTTCTTAATATTTTAGTTTATAAATTTAATAAATAAAGAATAAAATTACCATAAAAAAATTATATTAATATCAACATGTTCCATTATTCCATTCTATAAGGTTATTATTATATTGATCGGTTGTGTTGTCTATTTCTGAGAGCCGAACCGAAGATCTTATATTGTTGAATTGAGATCCATTGCTATTGAGATGACTAACTGACTCTTGGTTGGTGGTATTTTTTTTTTATTTACATGGGGTGTTCGGGCCAGCTTGCGCGTACCACGACTAATCCCCACGGCCCACTGAATACCTTGAAAACCCAGTAGGCATGTAAAGCACTGCGAGGATGACAGACGTGCACGTCAAGTCTCGAACCCAGGTGTAGTGAAAGAAGACAAGCTCCTTCCATCACTAAACCAAACACTGGAATACGGTTGGTGGTATTTTAATAGTTTGGTATCGATCCCAATGCACCCTGGGAAAATAGGAAACATAAAAAAGGAAATAAAAAAAAAACGACAAGAGCAAAAAGCATGATTCATGTACATACACAAATTTCTTATGTAATTCATGTTCGAAAACATAATTCTTTAATTCCAGTATTAAATCTGCATGGAACACAAAATTTTTTAATTAAACAATGAGATTGAGCAAAACAATGTTAACGTGTTTTCTCCATTTGAATATCACTCTCTCTTAAAGTGTCATAATATTCAATTTTTCTCCACAATTAAAAATTCAACTCTTAAAAAAAAAACTACTTACACCATTAATATTAAAATACAAACATAGTTTTTTCAATAATATTAAACTATAATTAATAAGTTACTCTTGTTTCTGTTTTACAAATTAAAAGGTGAAGTATAGTTTCATTTATAAAGCTTATATCAAGGCTTGGCATGACATATCCTATAAATTAAATATACTTTTAAAAAAAATTAAAAAGATATAATGTAATTTGTTAGGTTTTGAATTTATTTTCTAGAAATTATCAATTTGAATCTAATAAATTTTAGGCTTATTAACTTAAAGACTTATAGAATTAGATGAATTGTGTATAAACTGATTCCTACATTTTAACTTAAAGACTTATAGAATTAGATGAAGTGTCTAAAATGTATACTTTATTCTACATAATCTTTAACTCATTCTTCAATCTTAGAAGAATTATAGGTATAACTTATTATTTTCAAAATTAAAAGGATTAAATCGCAAAATAATAATAATAAAATTATAATTTTCCCACAACAGAAATATTTTGTCCTTGTGAGCCTGAGAGTTCACTAGAGACACAAATCAGTCACTAGCAACTCATATTTTAACTTCTAACAAATGGAGCAAAGTCCATTTATGATCTATCTATGAAATTGAAATGAACGGAGGATCGTAATTTGTGTAGAGTTTATAGTACTCTATTAAAAAACTGCTTCGGCCACCCTTTTCTTTTAAGCTTTTAGAAAAACATTCTGCGAGGGAAAAAAATCCAATTTTCTGAATGAGCTTCCCTGACACAAGCTTTTTTTTAAGGAAAAAAAATTGATCAAATAAATACTGCAAAATTCATGAAAATTGAACCATGCTTTTGTTTCATTTGGGCATCCAATCTGTCTAGAAAAAGACTAATGCAACTTTATATCGATTAGCTAGGAAAGTTCTCCCAGTATGTTTTGAGAACACTTGGTCTAGACATTAGAAACAAGTGAAAGCCGCTTGCTTCCTAGTTGAAGCTTCGTTTCTTCTGTCTCGCCATTGAAATAGTCTAGGATATATGGTTAAACATAAATGATCTAGGATTAAAGATGCAGAAACCAAATGAATTCATTCTTTACGCGAATCCCTTCAACATAATAGCAAAAGGAGATGGTCTCTCAAAAGTGTTTTTGGGTAGAAGTTAAAACACAAACCTGAAACCAAACACCATCTGACATGCAGCGAAAGAGTAATCAACAGAATTCGGATATACGAGTATGAACGCAGATGCAAGGGCCCCAAACTATAACTTGTGCATGTCAGAAAGAGCTACAATCAAAATTCATCCCACAATAACTTCTGTAAGGATTGATTATTGAAGAAGTATATAGGACATCGCAAGATTCAAGATGTGCTGGGTTGAAGCATCAAGCTTCACAAGAATGCTACAATAACCTTCGATAGCATTGTCTAAATGTTTCATCAAGAATTTGATGATGAGGTAATATTTATTTACCCCGAATCTTGACCTTAAGTGTCCATTTAACCTTCCCCTCAGGCATCGGAATAGACTTTGGGAAGCGTAGGGGCACCTCAAACTCTCCAAGAGCAGTCAAAGGTGATGGAAGATGCACGTTGTCAGGTTCAATTTGCACATTGAATTGTCTTGTCACCTGAGATGGACAGAAACCACGTTAGCACACATCCAACAGTCAGGCAAAAACTATCTTTTTATCATACCACGTATGCTGCACCTAACTACAAATTACGGAATTATAGTACGTATAAAACAGAACCTGTATCATAGATCGCAGTGTCTAAAAGAGAATTGTCAAACTGGGTTTTATAGATGGTTTCGTGATGATATATTGCCAGAACTTGCTCATGCAACAATATCCACCTACGGTATTTTCATGGATAAATACAAAACAACTTACTTTACAAAATTCTGAAGAGAAACTGAAATTAAAGATGAAGACTGATATACCTCTTTTAAAATATCATCCTTTGTCACTGGTGAAAGAATTTCTATTGGGTCATCTTTTGATTCACGGGCACGGAATTTTGCAGTATTGATCCCTACCCTAAAAGCCTACAATCATGAAAGACCGGTCAGATACCTCGTATTACCGGTAAGAGTAAGCCAACTTGTTATTTAAAATGTTTCATATTCTCAATACACTTTTCAAAAGATAAACTAACCAGTTGGGCTTTTACTAAGCGTTTTGCTGCTGTTTCGTATTCTTTCATCTTATCTTCCATTGTCTCTTTAACTACTTTCACCTCCTCTTCTTCCTCGGGTTGGTAAATCTGATCCACAACACATCACAAACATAACACCAATCACTTGACATTTCTCAAACAAAACCAAAGGGACGCGCGGATGCAAAACTTTAATTCGCAACTTTACAATATAATGCACATAAAAAATTCATGCCAAATAAATCAAGATTCAAGACCAGCTACTTTCACCACATAAAAAAACACTAACAAACACATGGAACTAGATAAAATAAATGTAAGAAATTTGAGCAAAACCTTGCGTTGCTCCCTGATAAGATGCGCAAACTTTTCGATGTTAGGGACAGCAAGTAATTTGGGCATCAGATGGTTGCGAAAATGCCCTGGCGCAACCTTAACTGTCTGACCAGCTTTCCCAAGCTTCTCTATGCTCTGCAAGTGCAAATCAAAATCCACCATCAACATCAATATCTGAACCGACACATAACCTGATAAAAAACCCAAAAATGAAATATTTCCTAGTCACACACTTACTGTTGTAAGAATAACTTCTAACTTCTTATATCTAATGCCTTGACAAGCATATAACAATGGATGTATAGCACCATCAGAGCTCTTCAAGTTGGTTTCTTTAGCAATAATTCGCCGTAGAACATTTCTGCTGTGCTGAATACAAGCCATAATCACCACAAAGAGTCCCTGTTTCAAAACAAACCAAAATTAAGTCGCTGCAAATACCAACAAAACAAAATCTTAAATAAGCAAAGAAAAATGCAACAAAAAAGTAAGTGCTTTAAAACCCAGAACCCAAAAATAAGAGCACAAAAATCAAGAAATTTAATTTCTTGCTATAAGATTATGAAAAATGAAGGTAACTCAGGATTTTTTAGCATAAATAAATCAAACAATAAATCAACAGCAATCCCACAATAGCCAGAACATAAAACTCAAAATCTAGAAAGAAAAACAATGCCTAAATTACTTACTGTAAGCTTGTACAAGAAAACAAAAATCTCGGTTTTGAAACGAAGAGCTGAGTTTTTTGAGCTTAGGATTTTGACGGGCTTTTGCCCGTAGAAGATGAGGGTGAAAGATGAGAGAGGAACCAAGAGTTTGAGCAACTGGAATATACACACACACCAGGTGAGGATTCTCCCTGTTGTTATATTCGAGGAACCAAGAGTGTCACCCTTCCATTCAAGGAATCAATTTTTTCGAAAGAGGAAAGTGCATGAATTTTTTAGAATGTATTGATTAAGGGCTGAAGACAAGATTCCTGTCAAGATCTGGGTTTGGGTTCGAGACGGGTTGTCAGGTTATGGATACATAGCCAAGAGATGGCAGGGAAAGCAAGAACTCAACCCAACCCGACTAACTTGCCCCACGTTCTGGGGCTTTAATATTTTTGGGCCTTCTTGGTCTAAGCTTTGCCACAACCCAAAGTCAAGTATCTTTTGTTAGGTTTTAGGTATGGGTGATCATATTTTATTGGGTTTTTTTATATATATAAAAACAATCAAATTAAAATTAAAAAAAAAATTAGTTTTCAGTTCAGTTTTCAATGTAAAAAACCAATAGAACCTATATTGTTTTTTTGGACTTTTTTTTACTTTCTAATGAGCTTTTAATAGGTTTTTTTATAAGCTTTTAAAGGGTTTTATGAGGGCTTATATTTGATGTTAATATTATTTAATTTTCTTATAATATTTCAAATTATATTTAATTTTTTTGTCACTGTATATTCATTTGTATTAAATTATTAGTGCCAATCTTGTGTTTATTATTATTATTTTTTTTTGCACCAGCAGGTGTCAGGTAAAAATTGAAGATAAAATAATGAATTAAGAGAACAGCCTATTAACAGGCTCCAGAATTCCAAAAAATCCAACACCAGCCTCTGAGGCCACTGAAACAACACTGGGGGTACACCTAGGACCAGCCTCTCAACTTGCCGTCAACATCATAGGCCGACTTGAGTCAAATGATTTTTCATTTTGGTATATCATGGTTGATATGATTACAAGTCTTAGGTCAAGCAAACATGTGATTACACAAAAAAATCTTAGATCTTAAATGAAGAGCTTCCAAACGTCAAATAGACTTGTCAAGTGAACAAGTGATCCTAAGCTCTGTATACATTGCCTGATGATAACAAAAATGGGTTCAATAACTTACTTTGTGACAATAATGTAACAACAACAAAACTGTCAATCTCCCCCTGTTTTGGATCCCATGGTTTTATTTCAAAGTAATTCATTGCCTAAGTGTTTCACAGAAAATGACAAAACTTGGCTGTTTTTTAAGCCTATAGAAGGCATGGTATTAGTCCCGAGCTCTTTGACTAAAACAGAAAGGGAAAGTCTAGAAGTAGTGAGCGGTAACAGCACCATTCACCCCTTGTTTTCTTAGCAATCTCAAGATATGGGATATCAGCATCTTTTGGGAGGAGTCATTGTTCTGTTTTGGGGTTGATTTTAGTTTATCATGCAAAAGGAAAGAAAAAGGTTAATGTCTCAAAGGATTTTCAGAGGGACAGAACTTTGAAGAGCTCTGAAAGTGGGGGCAAGTTATGCAATATTGAAAATCCAGGCATAATCAAGCCATGCTTTGCGGCTAAGCTGTCTCATTGGTTCTTGGCTATCGAATATCAAAACAGTCAGGTGAGTGAACCAGTTGCTATAAACTCTTTTCAATCTCAAAATGGTGAGGCTTTTCGCTATTCTTCTTCTTCTTCTTCTTCTTCTTACGCTTTCTAATGAGATTCCTTTATAGACTCAATGATGGACAATTAGATAACAAAGACAACCCAAGTATGGGAAGCCATCAGCGAATGCTGTTCCATTGAGTTGAGATCAAGTAACCAGTTTATATATTTTAAATCACTAATCCTAATTCTGGAAGTAGGCTTTGTCTCCCTTTTGGAACAGTTAAGGTAGTTCATCAAAGGACTGGAAAATTCCAAATAACCTATTCAGGGAAGGGAAAGGGCAACTTTTGAAACTCTTAGGGAATTCCATATGTCATGACTGGCTGATGAAAAACAAAAATGTGCATCAAATTTTTGTTCTGTTCCACTCTAGTAAGTCGGTCGATCTCAGATAAACAATAACACCTCTCTACTCTTAGTTTCTTTATGTTTTTATTTTCCACCCATGTATCGTTGTGAATCATGGGTGGACTGATTGAATTGTTCTCTACCATGTTATTACAAACCTAGCAAAGGAGAGCTTCCAGAAAGGAAACAACCGAGAGGTAAAAACAATGGCAGCAAGACAACCTCAGAGAACCCAACATCTAAATAAAAGAAAACAAAACTAAGCAAATGAAAAGCATTGGCAGGAAACTAAATTCAGGAAGAACAATGGAAGTAATTAAGTAATTTACAGCAAACCCATCTCCAGAAACAAGTATTCAAGAATCAAGAATGCCAAGAAAAAAAAAAAACTAACCTGATACAGAGAGGCGAGACGCGAGAGCACATAAGATGCAGAGTGGAGACTAGAGGAAGAACAGAGGCAAACGAAATAAAGAAAAGAAATGGCTGTTTTGAGAGAGAGAGAGTGGAAGTTGTGGAACCAGCTAGGGTTGATAACTTGAGTTTTGAGAACAGGCAAAGGGGGAAGGGAAGACTGGCGACTGCGTACTTACTGTTATGATAATAGGATTGAGGAATAAAAAATCTTGTGAATCCATTAGTTAAGGGCAAACCTTGGAATTCATAGGAGATGCAGTCAAAATTAAAAACATTACGAGGATGAATTTCAAACTAAGTAAATTTAGAAGGACGAAGAATAAAAAAGATGCGATTTTTCGAATTCAAAGATCAAGATTCAAACTCGACACATGAAAATCGATCATGAATTACCTTACAAGTTCAAAATCGATCATTCCCTTTGAACTCTTCGTGGAGCTTCCCGTGTATTTTTTCCTCCCAAAATAATATTTATTCCACTTTCTTTTCACATTGCTCACTAATATTTTTCTCCTGGATCACACTTACTGATGAATATCCAGAAAGGCATTAACATGTAGTTGACTGCATCAACCCAACTGTAATACATTTTTTTTTAAATGTCATTTCAATTTTGTTTTGAAAAAAACACCTTAAAAAAAAAAAGCAATACCATTTTAATTCTGCTTAAAAAAAAAACACCTTAGTTTTGTTCTAATCTTGATAACTAGATCATAAATCAACCTATCAACTTACATAAATATAAATCTAATTGAGTTTAAGTTAAAACTCGATTCAGGTCAAACTTTCAAGTCGTGGATTTCCCGGATCCATAATCATATTAGAATGGATTTAGAGGGTATTTGGTTTGAGATGACTTTGGATTTTTTTGGTGGAATCCACACAAAAAAAAAACGCAAAAAAACATATACTTGTAGCTTTTAGAAATGTGTTTTATACTTTGAAAAGGTTGTATCTTTGAAGGGGAAAAAAACCATCATACCTCCAGCCAAAAAATCCCCTAATAATTATGCCCAGGATGGCCAGGCAAATCGTATCCAACCTTCTTCTAGAATAATTCTTTTCTTACTTGTGTCAACAATTCCATGTCAATTGCTTCTGTTGGAAAGATTACAGGAGAGAATTGCAATCTCATATTTCTGTACATATTGCAGGATGGTCGAAGAGTGCAAGTAATTGAAAGAGACTTGACCGAGCCTGACACTGACAGAATTGTTGGAGAACTCCTGCAACCTGGAGGTTACCTGAAATTAATTGAATTGGGCCTTGAAGGTGAGCCGGAGCCTCAATATATCTGTAGAACCAGCTAAGCTTTCCAGCGTCAAAACTATCAGAACTATAGCAGTAAACGTAATAGTTTTTTAAATAATTTTTTTTAATTAGAATAAATATGATAAAATAAATTATATTTATATTATTTAAAATGTTATTTTATCAATTTAATTTTTTAAAATAACATTTTAGATTAAAGTTGCTCTATCATTCCCTTTGAACTCTTCGTGGAGCTTCCCATGTATTTTTTCCTCCCAAAATAATATTTATTCCACTTTCTTCTTCACGTTGCCCACTAATATTTTTCTCCTGGATCATACTTACTGAGGAATATCCAGAAAGGCATTAACATGTAGTTGACTTCGGGTTTTTTTTTATGAAACCCACATAAAAAAAAACATTTTTAACTTTTTAAAATGTGGTTTATATTTTAAAAAGATTGTATTTTTGAAAAAAATCATCACACCTCCGAACCAAAAAATCCCTTAATAATTATGCCCAGGATGGCCAGGCAAATCGTATCCAACCTTCTTTTAGAACAATTTTTTTACTACTTGTGTCAATAATTTCATGTCAATTGCTTCTGTTGGAAAGATTACAGGAGAGAGTTGCAATCTCATATTTCTGTACATATTGCGGGATGGTCGAAGAGTGCATGTAATTGAAAGAGACTTGACCGAGCCTGACACTGACAGAATTGTTGGAGAACTCCTGCAACCTGGAGGTTACCTGAAATTAATTGAATTGGGCCTTGAAGGTGAGCCAGAGCCTCAATATATCTGTAGAACCAGCTAAGCTTTTCAGCGTCAAACACTGTCAGAACTATAGCAGTAAACGTTAAGTAGATCTTTGTGTATCTGCAGACTGTGTGAGTGAAATTGATGCTCAAAGAGTGCTTGGATCTGCAAACATTAAAGATGGGAAAAGTACCAAACTATCATACCCCTTGGAGAACTTCCTTTCAGATGTTGCTGGAAGAAGCTTTCACAATGGCCGTTTTATTCAGAAAATGCGAGACAAAGCATAAAACTCTTTCCGCGTAATCTTTCATGGACATTCATTATACTTGCTTAAGTTCTGTTCCATTGTAGTATTTCAATCATATGATCTTTCCAGGGTAGTTGCATAATTAATAATGTTTCCTTACAATCCGATTTTCTTGCAATGTTTTCTTCAGGGTTAAATTGGAACAAGGAACGGTAACAACTCTCATTGAAGAAAATGGGACTATTAAAGGAGTACAGTGCAAAACCAGGGCTGCAACAGAGTTGGGAGCATGTGATCCATTAACAATTGTCTGTGATGGCTGTTTCTCGAATCTGCGGCGGTCTCTTTGCAATCCTAAGTTGAGGACAGTGCTGCCAAATTGCAAAACAATCACTTCGTCGAAGTTTTGTGATCCTGTGTTCTAGTATTGAAGTAACATATAACCTTTTCCACAGCATAGGAATTTAGCTTGCATAATTTAATCTTCCTTGCCAACTGAAATTTAATCTTTCCTTTTGCATAATTGATATCCCATCGTGTTTTGTTGCGCTGGTGCTGGAAAACCGCAACCTTCGATATGCAAATCATGGACATTTTGTTCTGGCAGATCCATCTCCAATCTTGTTTTATCCTATTATCAGCAGTGAGATTCGCTGTTTGGTAGATGTTCCTGGACAGGAAGTACCTTCCGTTTCTAATGGTGAAATGGCTCGCTATCTGAAAACTGCAGTAGTTCCCCAGGTTACTACAATTCACTTCAAGCAATATTTATGTGAATTCTTACACTAACACAACAGAATTACCACTGATTTATGTATGAGATCATAAGAATAATCAAGCAACTTGGGCATTTCACTTGAGCAGATATGTACAGGTGCTAGATTGATTTCGGTAGGTGTCTCAATGAACTTTGAATCTATAGAAACTGTATTTGTTATCAATTTTTCTTTAAAATTCTGTTTATAAGATAAGACTCGTGTGGAAGCAAGATTTTCTAACATGGTTATCATCTGCGCCTTCAGGGGGCATCAGGAATCATCTTTCCTATAATAAAGGCTGAAGGAATTAGACAAATGTTCTTCCCTGTAATGGTACCACCATACCCCAGAGCTCCTCCGATTGCCTGGCAGGATGGATAGAGCGATTTTCCATCAAGAACTGAAACTAGTTTGCATGAGCAATTCACGTTTGCGAGATCAAAGCTTAGGTCTCCATTCTTGTAGAAGTCATACAACTGTAATTCTTTTATTAATTTGTTCTTCAACTTGGGAACAAGATATCCCTCGTAAATTTGTACTCGATGCCTAATTTATTAAAAAAAAAAAAAAACAAATCCCCCTATGATACCAACATGATTTATACACTTTGAAAGTTCATATGTTTCCTTTACAAGCCGAACACGATATGTGGCAATTACAGTCATTAATAGCATAGTTATAAGATGCCACCCAGGTTATATCTATTTCGAGGCCGTGTCATGGGTTGAAATTTTTCTATCTCAGTACAATCAAATTGCTTAAAACAGTGATGAAATCAAATCTCTAATTGTTAATTCAAGGTTTAGCTTAAAACAGGGGTGGGTTAATAGAAAAACTTGATTTTTTTTTTTATAAACGAAAAATAATACCATTTCAAGTTTTTTTAAAAAAATATTATTATTATATATATGTATAATATATATAACCTGTTTTAAGCAAACTAGTACAAATTTTTTTTTAATAATGTTTTTCACTGTTTAGGATTTCGTGCTAATTAGAGATTGTTTAACGTTTAAAAAAATTTATTTAAAATTAATTATATATATTTTGAGATTTTTTTTATTGATATTAAAAAGATTTTTAAATAAAATATATATTATTTTAATATATTTATAAAAAAAACTTTAAAAAATACTCGTAACATTTGGCCTTGGCCATCAAATGAAGCACGGAGAAAAATATTAATTAAAAAGTAATGTGATTAAGATGATATTTGTTTCTCGAAAAATAATTTATAAGAAATTATTTTTTAAATATTTTTATATTTTTTTATTGTTAAAAATATTAGTCAATGAAAAATATTTTATAATTAAAAAAAAATTAGCTTGGTTTCTAATAAAATATTTTTCTAAAAAATTTAGGCTGAAAACATTTTATGAAAATTGTAAAAAAATTAGAAATATCATATTATTTACTGATTATATCAAATTTGGTTCTCAAACTTTTAATTGATATATATATATATATATAGATATATACATATTATTTTGAATATTTATTTTTTTAATTTAACTCTTAAAAAATGATTTTTATTTTAACTTTGGATCTTATTTTTATAATTATTATTTGCTTTTTCCTTATCATTTTTTATTAAAAATTTTTATTTATCAATTTTGTTTCTCATTCTTTTGATTGTTACTTATTTATTTGAAATAATTTATGAAATTTTAATTATTATTATTTTAATTTTTTCATCTTTAATTTTTTTATTTTTTTAGATTTGATCTCTATTATTTTAATTATTATTTATTTTATTTGAGATAATTTATGAAATTATGTTTTTTTCAATTTCATTTTCATTCAATTTTTTAACTTTTTAATTTGTAAGATTTATTTCTTATTATTTTGATAAACTTAAAAAAATATTAATAAGTTATTTTTCAGTTTATTTTTTATAAGTTAACCAAACATTAAACATTAAAAAGTATTTTCTAACTTATGTTTTATTATATTATAAAATAATTTATTTTTAAAAAATAACTTTTCAGCAAATAATCTATAGTCTGTACTGTGACATAAAAAGAGCGAAAATAATTATGATTCCCAACAAGCAACAAGAAACACAAGAGAAACAATTACAAGCTGCAAATTTTACTGAGAATCCCTCGTGGTCCTTGAAAGCACGCGTCCTAGAGGCAGCAGCAACTGTGTCGCATAGGTAAAGGATAAATAAGTACACAGTGAATCGTTATTTAAAAAAAAAGGAAAAAAAATGCTCACTTTTTGTTTTTTGTTTTTTTTTTGCTTTGGTGGACATGAAGTAGGTGGCGGAGGATTTACTCCTGGGAAATGAGGTGGCTGTTGGTGATGTTGAGGACCAAATTTCGTAGGGTCACTAACTGAAGGTGGTGCCACGTAAGGACCGGCTTCATAGTACCCTTGCATTGGTGCTTGAAAAGCATAACAATGTTCTTCAGGAGACCACACCTCCTGCTTTGGTGGATATACCCCTGAAAATCATCAATTTAGCAAACCATCAATTGATTAACATCCTAAATGACAGAAAAAAAGGAAAAAAAAAGATTTTCAGAAGCCGAACATAAATTCAATTACCTGCGGAAGCTTGATGATTGTTGTTGTCGTAACTCATTGTTGAAATCAAGATATGATCACCTATGAAAAACTTGTATTTGGTATATGGAAAGACCAAATGAATGAAATGATATGTTTTATAGAGTTGGCTGGTTGTTCTTTACGGTCTTCGTCAATGGCGACTTCTTACATGCATGGAAAAACTAGCTAGACGACCTATCATGTTGTGACAATTGGGATTTCTTTCAATGATAATTCAATCCATTTGTTCAAAAAAGCAATGTGGACTCTGCCTTCGTTTTCTAACTTGAAATTGCTCCGAAAATGGAGAGAAGGTTCCTCCGAAATGATATTGAAAATAATAATTGATCTTCTAATCAAAGCGAGACGGAAAATAGCTCGAAAGCCTTGAATTGCATGGAAAAGGGTGGCTCTCTCCTCTAACCCATAGTTATTATTAAGCCATGCCATCGGATCGCTATTTTTCTAAATAAATGGAAATATAATTCATTCTTATTTCTCAAATAGACAGAAACCTGATTAATTATTAATTGTATTTTAATATTATTAATGAATTATGCGTGTATTTGTGATATTAATGGTAAATGTATATTTCTTTTGAAAGAGTTGAATCTTGACACTAAAATAGAGAGACCTTTTTGACAGTACCGTTTCATTAATTAATTAATATCATAATTTAATTAAAGAAATTTGTGTTCCACATTGATTTATTGATAATTCCAGATACATGAATCAAAGGATTCAGCTTTTGAGCATGAATCCCACAGAGAATTGTGTGCTTGGACTATCCTTCGTTTTTGTGCTTCACTTTCTTTCTTTTCTTTTTCCTATTTTTCCATTGGGTATTGGACTCATTACCAAACTATCAAAATACCTCCTAGGGTTTAGTCATCTCCATTAGCAGTGGATCTCAGTCCAAGAATGTGGGGTCCTGGGCCTGGCCCACCAAAATGTCCAAAATGACCAAACATAATAATACTATGACTAGTAATGTTTCATTGCATCAATTCTTTAGCCTTTTCTTTTCTTTTCTTTTCTGAAGTCTACAGTCTTCATTACCTGACATGCAAGATTAACACAATCATCATCACAAACAATGGTAACATTACCATCAAATACAACTGCAACTTTACTATTCTCTTCATTATTGTCTTCATCTCTACCTTTTTTTTTATCTCTTTTTTTACTTTCTGCAATCCTTTTGCATATGCCCAGGCTTGTCACAATAATAGCACTTAAAACCCTTCCTTGACTGAGATCTTCCTCTTGGCTTCCATTTGCCTTTTCTATTGCTGGATTCTCTATCTTGCTTGCTGTGAGAGAACCTGCTTGGACTTCTCCCTCGACTTTCTGTAACAAGTGCATGAGACTCAGAAGTGCTTGTGCCTTTCCTCCTCTTCTCTTCATTGAGGATACAATCCTTCACTGTTTTCAAAGTGATCTTCCCATTCGGAGTAGAATTGCTAAGTGACACCACCAAAGTCTCCCAACTATCCGGCAATGAACTCAGTAGGATTAGTGCTTGCATTTCATCAGCTAACTCCAGATTCATCAATGACAACTGATTCAAGAACCCTTGGAATACATTTATATGCACTGAAGCATCTTCACCATCTCTATACTTCAAATTCACAAGGTCTCTAATTACAAAAACCTTGTTTTGTGCACTCTCCTTAGCAAATGTTTCTTCCAACATCTTCCAAACTGTATAGAAATCATGTTTTTAAGAAATATGATTAATGGACTTAAAAGATACTCATTTTCTAACATTAGCAGTAACCTTTCTATTAAACCCATTCCATTTACATTTAATCGGCAAAACCAAATCATTGCAATATAAGTGATCCTCCATCATTATTTTCCATAGAAAATAATTTGAGAAAGTAAGCTTTATCATGCCTGAATCTTCCTTTTCCATCTTAACTGCCCAAGAAATTCAATCTACACAACCAGTGCTCTGATACCATTTTGTTGGGAAAACTAGGAACAACCGGACACCAATTTACCAGGATCAATTTAGCGGAATACAATTCACAATTCATAAATCCTAATTCTTTCCCTCTTTGTGCAGTAAAACAGAATCAAATAATGACCAAATATAATATAAATAATCACAAAATCAACACCAAGATTTTTAAAGTGGAAAACCCGATGTGGGAAAAACCACGGGACCGTAATCCACCTAAACATTTCCACTATCAACAAATAATGGGTTCATAATCATTCTTCCTCAGATTCAACTAAGGGATACAACATATATATCATCAAAAACAACTTATTCTCGGATTACAATAAGATTAAAGGAGAATTATTTGAGAAAAACTCACAAAACTGACAGCCCCGTCTTTTGTCAAAAAAGCCAGCTTCCACATCACCAATCTTCAATCCAACCATCCAGAATGAAGATCAATGTGTCTATAAACTGCTGTCAAAATCTCAGCCCGATCCAACGGTGAATGAGCTGGAAATTAAAGAAAGAACACAGACTGCTCTGCTGCCTCGTCTTCTCCTTTTCTCTCTTGATTTTCTTCTCCTCTCTTTTATTTTCAATCTACTACTACATTACCCGAACCACTTAATTTTAAAGTTAAGTGATTAGCTGCCTCTCTTCTCAATAAATATGGTGGTCACACCATCACATGGTATGGTACCACACACAATAATCTCTGCAGCCTTGAGAAGATCTTCTACAATCTCTTCAGCCTTGAGAAGATCTTCTGACTTTTAGCCTTGACACAGTGGAGTTACTACTGATTTATGTTTAAGATCAACATGTGCTTCTCACTTTTCTGATTCAAAAGAACAATCAAGCAACTTGGGCATTTTAGATTCCTGCTGAACTGCACGATGCTTTCATTTAGGCAATTGACAAAGGGAGCATAAGAACAATGACAAACAGAAGCATGCCAGCTTCTCCTTACCCTACTCCAGGCGCACTTCTAATGGAGGATGCATTAAGCATGAGGCATCCTTTAACTGGAGGACGAATGACTGTAGCTCTGTCAGACATTGTGCTGCTACGTGACCTTCTTCGACCTCTGCAGAAGCTCAATGATGCATCTTCCCCTTCCAGATATCTCGAGTCCTTCTACACCCTGTCTAAGGTAAGACGAGCCAATTAAAATCCTAATAAAGCTTGTCGGAATTTAAAAAAAAAAAATTAACCAATGATTCATGTATCTGTTTGCAGCCAGTGGCATCTACCATGAACACATTGGCAGGTGCCCTGTACAAAGTGCTTAGTGCATCACCTGATCCAGCTAGAAACGACATACGCCAAGCATGTTTTGACTATTTAAACCTTGGAGGAGTTTTTTCGAATGGACCCATAGCTCTACTCTCTGGTCTAGACCATCGGCCATTGAACTTGGTTCTCCATTACTTTGCAGTGGCTATCTAGGGTGTCGGCCGCTTAATGCTTCCCTTGCCATCACTTAAGCGGATATGGACAGGTGCTAGATTGATTTCGGTAGGTATCTCAATGAACTTTGAATCTGTAGAAACTGAATTTGTTATCAATTTTTCTTCCAAATTCTGTTTCTAAGATAGACTCATGTGGAAGCAAGATTGTCTAACATGGTCAACATCTTTCCTCTAATAAAGGCTGAAAGAATTAGACATATGTTCTTCCCTGTAAGGGTACCACCATACCACAGAGCTCCTCCGATTGCCTGACAGGATGGATAGAGCGATTTTCCACCAAGAACTGAAACTAGTTTGCATGAGCAATTCACGTTTGTGAGAATAGCTTAGGTCTCCATTCTTGTAGAAGTCACGCAACTGCAATTTTTTTATTTGTTCTTCAACTTGGGAACAAGATATCCCTCGTGAATTTGTACTAAATGCCTAATTTATTTAAAAAAAAATAATAAAAAACTTCCCCTATGATACCAACATTTTTGAAAGTTCATATGTTTCCTTTGCAAGCCGAACACGGAGACGTAGCAATTAAAGTCATTAATAGCATAGTTATAAGATACCACCCAGGTTGTATCTAGTTTCGAGTGAGATTAACTTAATCTTTGATTTAGAAAAATGAAAAACTTGGAATGATATTATTTTAAGCTTCTTACAAAAGATCGAGTTTTTCTATTAATCGGCCCTTGAATTAACAAATCATTTGAGTTCATCTTTTGTCGGAAGATCAAATATGTGTTTGATATATATTTTAAAAAAAAAAATTATTAGCAACATTGCATTAAAACTATCATAAAAGATTTTAAAAAATTAATTTGATATTTTTTTTAATACCAAACTCACCTTTAAAATACATTCAAAAACACAAGTACAAATGTAATGTAAAACAACCTATAAGAGTATATACAATGATTAGTTATGTTTCATTGCATAATTCTTTAGCCCTTTCTTTGCTTTGCTAAAGTCTACAGTCTCCATTCGCACTCGTGCAGGTTACGCCATGGAGCCTGCCCGTCCCATTACCAAGCTGCTCAACGTTCAAAACACAAACTAGTCTATAGCCCATCTATCAGCAATTTGATTGTACTGAGATCCTTCTTAAAATTTCGCCACTGATTAGGATTGCATGCTAAATAGACAATTGTTAAAAAAAAATTTAAAAAAATTTACTTCGAATTATTTTTATATATTTTTAGATTTTTATGTATTCATATTAAAAATAATTTTAAAAAATAATTATTAGCATACTCTCAACTCAAATAAACGTGAAGCACGGACAATATAGTGTGGATACGTAGTCCGTACAGTGACGTAAAAAGAGCGAAAATAATTATTATTTCCAACAAGAAACACAAGGGAAACAATTGTAAGCTGCAAATTTTACAGAGAATCATTCATAGTCCTTCAAAGCACGCGTCCTAGAGGCAGCAGCAGCAACTGTGTCACATAGGAAACAGATAAATAACTAAGTACACAGTGAATCGTTATTTAAATAAAAAGGGCAAAAGCTCAGTTACCATCCTGTGGAAAAGTCATCATCCCTCTGACTAGTTCTTTCTGGAGGAAGAGGTGCCTGTGGGAGGTGTTGAGGACCATATTTCGTAGGGTCACTAACTGGAGGTGATGCCACATCAGGACCCGCTTCATGGTACCCTTGCATTGGTCCTTGAGAAGACATTTTTTTATAGTCTGAATAACGCATCTCCTGCTTTGGTGGACATGAAGTAGGTGGTGCAGGACATACTCCTGAAAAATCATCAATTTAGTAACCCATCAATTGATTAACTTCCTAAATCACAGAAAAAAAGGAAGGAAAAAAAAAAGGATTTTCAGAAGCCGAACATAAATTCAATTACCTGCGGAAGCTCGATGCGTGTTGCTGTCGTCACTCATTGTTGAAATCAAGATATGATCACCTATGAAAAACTTGTATTTGGTATATGGAAAAACCAAATGAATGAAATGATATGTTTTATAGAGTTGGCTGGTTGTTCTTTGAGGTCTTCGTCAATGGCGACTTGTTACATGCATGGAAAAACTAGCTAGACGACCTATCATGCTGTGACAGTTGGGATTTCTTTCAATAATAATTCAATCCATTTGTTCAAAAAAGCAACGTGGACTCTGCCTTCGTTTTCTAACTTGAATAGCATAGAAAATGGACAGAAGGTTCCTCCGAAATGATATTGAAAATAATAATTGATCTTCTAATCAAAACGAGACGAAAAGTAGCTCGAAAGCCTTGAATTGCATAGAAAAGGGTGGCTCTCTCCTGTAACCCATATTTATTATTAAGCCATGTCATCAGATTAATCAAATTAATTTGAACTATATATTGCTATTTTTCTAATTAAATGGAAATATAATTCATTCTTTATAAACAGAAACCTGATTAACGTATTAACTGTATTTTAATATTATTAATGAATTATGTGTGTATTTGTGATATTAATGGTAAATCTATATTTCTTTTCAAAGATTTGATTTTTCACACTAAACTAGAGAGACCTTCCTTACACCGTTTAATTAATTAATTAATTAATCTCATAATTTAATTAAAGAAATTTGTGTTCCACATAGATTATTGATAAATACCCCCAGATACATGAATCAAAGGATACAGCTTTTGAGCATGAATATCCCCCGGAGATTTGTGCCCTTGGAGTATCCTTTGTTTTTGTGCTCTACTTTCTTTCTTTTCTTTTTCATTTTCCTATTTTTCCATCGGGTATTGGACTCATTACCAAACTATCAAAATACCTCCTAGGGTTTAGTCATCTCCATTAGCAGTGGATCTCAGTCCAAGTATGTGGGGCCCTGGGCCTGGCCCAAAAAAATGTACAAAATGACCCAACATAATAATACAATGACTAGTAATGTTTCATTGCATCAATTCTTTAGCCTTTTCTTCCCTTTTCTTTTCTGAAGTCTACAGTCTTCATTCCCACTCGTGCATGTTACGGCTGTGACTATATAACAATTATCGATTAAAGGAAACATAACTATTCATTGTATACAATTGGCTTAATGACATAAAATAGCCAGACATACAGCTCTGGCTGCATATGAAGGAGACACATGAACTTTACAAATGTATTAGTAATGTTGATATCATAGGTAACAGATTTAACAAATCAAGGGATGTAATACAAATTCATGAGGCTAGCCTAGTTTCCAAGTCGAGAACAAGTTAAAAATAATTACAGTAGCATAAATTCTACAGTAATGGAGACTGAAATTATTCTAACAAAAGAGAACTAATTTTGAGAATAATCACAAGAGAAAGAATATGATTTTATTACTGGGTTTTATGTACAAATGGATGCATGGTCACCCTGACCAACCATGGTTACTATCTTGAGAAGCATAATAATAATATACATGCAAGATTTACATACAGCCGCACTCTTCTCCTCCTGAAGAGAGCAAGATTCAACTTTCAGGCATCAACAGAAACACTTACAGCATTTAGCTCCACATGTTGCTTCCCCTCACCGTGAGGATGCACAGTTACGGTGGCACAGGCCTCTGCAGGTGAAGACCGATCATCTCCCGTCTGTGAAACACAGATTGAACTTACCGAAGGTTTTCTATCAACCATATTGTCATGGTCATCTTCTTCTTCAGAAATGATTTCCCACTCCTCTTTAAGTGATGTAAATTGGAATCCATTCTCTTTGTGCCTTTCCATTTCGAATGCGGTGGGTAGAATGACATAATCATTTATTGGATTGTAGAAAGGATCTGAATCTGCCTTCAGCCAGTGCTTCAGAATCCTGAATAAATGATGGTCACTGAGAATTCCACGGTGCTCACCAGGCACCCCAACCCTTGCTTCTGCATTGAGCCCATCTGCCTGAAAGAAAACAAAAATGAGGAAAGAAAAAACAAAAGATTGGGGAGAAGCATAATTCAAAATGCAACCATCATGTCCTTCAATAGCTTTCATGAGTTAAAGCTGTGAAGAAAAGCTTATTCATAGCATAGTTACTTTGGAAGATTATTAAATCAGAGAGAGTTAATGAAATGCACGTCACAAACCTTAGCTGATTCAGCAGGAACTGTCCCGTCACCATTTACAGAAATGTATTTAGGCTGAAAACACAAACAAAAATCAGCTTTTGTGACCAATTCAAGAATCACAGGAAAGTGTTTGAACCAATGAACAAAGACCAAATACTAAACAAGCTATCCATTTGCTCTGATGACAAGCAGGGATAAGAGTATTCCATGGCTACCCATGTCCTATCAGGTGATCTACAAAGTCCCAATGATCAGACAGTTCTCTAAGCTATCATTAACCAACAATTTAAGCATAAGAGAAGGCAAAGAAAAGTATTCCATGGCTACTGCACAGGTTGCCTGTAGGGAAAACAACATCACAAGAATAAGAGCAAGTTGAGCATGAGATAATGACCTCACAAAATTGCAGTTCTGGTAGATCAGTGACAGGTACCTCTGAACTTCCATAGCTGCAGAATAGTAACTTCTATGAGATAAAATACACCAATAGAATTGCAAGAAGAATGTTACCACAGAATCATATGATGCAAAGCTAGAGTTTCAGACAGTTCGTTAATGAGAGACTTGGTTGAGTCAGTCAAGTTGCAGAATGGTTGACCAATAGTTTGGAGTTTAAGGTTTTTCTTTGTGTGTTTCTATCTTTTTGATAGTTCAATCATTTTGTGAGTGAGGGTAGATTTGCACAAGAAACCTCCTGTTTTGGAGAGATGGGTGTGGCGATCAATGACATTATACCCTGGCCAAGATTTAGGGACTAAAGATATAACTGTGACAACAATATTGTAGCTGAATCTTGTGGAGTTCTGCTAGAATTCACATCTGAAGAAGAAAAAGGAGGGTTTCCTATTATACCTAAACAACAGTAATAGTTGGTGTTTGCTATTCCAAAATTGGACCTAGACTACCAGTAAACACAAGATGCATGCTTCAACCACAAAACCTAAATGACTAAAGAGACAATTAAACTACAGACGAGACCCTTTAAGCCATTGCTACTCAGTCTATTTCAGCACTACTGGCGATGATAGAATATCCCAGGTGACTTTCAACATCAAATATCAAATTAAACCAGCAGCCTTCGGCACCAGATAAAAATTGATTCCTTTTTCTCAAACTACCCTAGACTTTGACACGTAATATAAGAAATCAGCACCTTTAAGACATGGAAACCTTAAATAAGACTTCATATTGACAGGAAAAGAATTAAAAATCAGCCTCTCACATATAAATGAAACTATTAACTTGAAATTCCTTGTTTAGTTTAACTTCTATTGAAGCTTTTGTTGTGTCCACTCTTATGCAGCAAAGCTTGCATTGCAGTTCTCATGCAAAGCTTCATCTAAGTTCATAGAAGCATTACCAAACACTGTGAGGCGTTTCCAGATTAACCCCATAGATATTGTAGAATCTAACTCCAGGAGGAACTTTAGCACGAGACAAAACGTTTTGTGTTTCATCAGCCCATTTCAAAATATCAAAGTTGAAAGGTAACGGAAGATCCTCTTCATCATAAATGACCTGAAATGAGGAAATACAGATATTACCATCCAAACAAATGATACATGGAGAAAGTCACTGATGTTTTAACAAGTCAATGACGGTTGAAAGGTAAAACTAAGCACATTATTATTATTATTATTATTATTATTATTATTTAAAGCACACAAGTTATAGAAAAAGAAGAGGATTAATCAGATTTGTACCATCAACTCTTCAGCCTAATCAATTATTAAATTAAAATTAACAATTGAGAGGTTAATGAATGATTAGCAGTGAATCAATTATTAAATTAAAATTAACAATTGTGAGGTTAATGAATGATTAGCAGTGATTGATAATATAGGAATGCACTGTGATCAAAAGATGAAATGCTAAACTTCACGGAGCAGCAATTTACAAAAAGAAAGTTCTGAGCTCACAGTGTTACTTGAAAGAGCATCTTTGAAAACTTGGATGCTCTCTTCAGGGGGATATGACTCTAGAATTATCTGAGAATTTCCATCATTATCTTTCTTCTCTCTCCAGATTTCCAAAACAGGAACATGTTGCCAATGAAAATGTGGACAAGCCATCAATTCATATATTGAAGGGCATTCAATAAGCTGAAAAATTGTGCCATATAGAATCAGTATATGAAACTCATGAAAAGCCATTTTAAATCAACTGACTTTGAAAGCTGTTGATAATTCTTATAGTTCAAGATACACAATTAGAAAAAATAAAAAAGAGTCTCTAATATACATGTATTTAAATGCCAAAGTAGAGGGCTCCTACCAGCTGGTGCATGCTCCATTTTGATATAAAAAAGTTCTGCTCCCACCCTTCAACAAATGACATTCCATTCAGAAAGGTAGATGTAACAAACCCAGGTGCACCTGTCGGACCAATAACACATACAACATTTGAACACCGTTCCAAAATCCTATCTGAGTAACGTTCTGAATAACTGAAACAGTAACAATGGAACTGAAAGCACAATGCAACTGTACAAATAACATTGATGAGATTTGAATTGTGAGATCAATTAATGAATGTAAGTAGCAAAACCTATATTTCCTATCCTAACACAATTCGAAGTTCTATTTTGGTGTATTCAAATATACTCTTGGCAATTGGTCCATATATAAACACAATACAAGATTGTCTGATATGAACCACAATTTTTCTATATTTCACATCTTTCATATGGAACAAGGAAATGACACCTATTTCAGGGTACATCAATGATTCCAATCGTAACATTACTTAAGAATGGAAGTAATGAAATTTTTATTATGTTAATAGAATTAGGAATTCTATTTCAGTATATGAAATTACACCACCAGAAAATTTGATAATTGTTAAATTGTGGTATTTAAGCCACATTTTTCTACTATTCTGTTTGTTCATATTCGAACAGAGAAATGATTCTTATATCAGGGTATAAATGATTCTTATATCAGGGTCTATGTAACAATTTTGGAAATTCACTTCTAACTACTAACAGCATCAATGCTATGCTATGAAATCTGAATAAAGTAAAATCACACTTTCTTCCTGCAAAATATAACTTTTTGACAGCATCTAAACAAATTACAGTTTCTTCTGAGTGCAGACTTTTGCCCAGCACTAGGAGATACAAATCATGGGAGGTACAAATGCCATGTGTTATGAATCACACATTGTATAGAATTGCTTACCCCGGAATGGTGCAGCAATGGCAATCCAATTCTTCACATATTTCTCAAATATCTGCCAAAAAATAAGCATAAGATTTAAGAGCTTTCATCAAAGAAATATAAAAGAAGCAACAAATAGCAACTTATTCACCCAAATAGGAGGGTAATAAAAAAACAGTTAATTCAAGAGGTGATGTTGGATATTTACATCACTGTGCAGGGACATGAAGCATTTAACTAGCAGACCCCCCATTGAATGACTTATGATGTTTATCTTTTTCCCTCCAGATGCTTTATATACTGACTCTAATTTTTTAGCAAGGCACTCTAAAGTCTCTGGCAACCTGGAAGATAAGCAAAGCATCAGTGATTAAAATCATTAACATTTAAAGGAAAAGAAATGTCTCCATAGATTGTAAAGCAAAATTCATTTGAGAAAAAAAACTCGCTAATTATAGCAGTATTGGAAAAAGCTGGTTGGTTTAATACACACCTGTTGCTTTGCCGAAAATCATACCCAAACCCGAAAAGAGTTTTTCCCTCTTGAAAACCCCACTTGATCATTTCGACAATCATATCATGGAAATAATATACACAATCACGTCCTATTACCTGCATGGAACAAAATACTGTGTTATGAAATACATCCAGTTGCACTTAACTTGCACATAAATTTGATTTAATTGAGAGCTAAAACACAACATTTATTGCAATATATTCAATTTTGATAATGTCTGATTATCACTCTCTTTCAAAATATAACTATTATCTAAAAAATTAAAAAAAGATGCAAATCAACCCACTTCAGCTGTGAATTCTGCATTTCACTATATAATAGAAAATAGAAAAGGCATCTTATACGTGAGAGAGATCAGAAATGGAGAAAATGATGGATTACAGGTGATTTTTGAGATATTATGTACTTAGAACATTGTAACATATACTATAGAAAGAGTTGTTTAACAAGTACAAAACTATAGTGAAATTCTATTTATAAAAAGCTATGTAAATCAAATTAGTCAACATTCAGTAAATGCATGTGAAATTTCCAGAAAAAATGGGACTCTCTTCTTTCTGTAAAACATTTTCACCAAAAAGCATCTCCTGTCTCAATAACATTAACAAGTTCTTTAATTGTGAGATTATGTTTCATGATTCAAGTTAGAACTGATTTTTTCTGCTCCGATTGTTATTAAATAAAGTAGAACTTCCTATTATAAAGTACAAATTTCAGTGGAAACATTACTGTTTCAAATCTAAATACGATGTAAAATAAGCATAAAAGATACGAAGACAAAGAAAGTACCATGTCAGGATCCAATACATCAATAGCATGCAACCCGTATCTATCATCAGGAACCACAATATTTGTCTTTGGATCTAAAGTCACAGACCGTCCTGTTTCACATAAACTCATCAATTTAGCACCATTGGTAGAACACAAACCAACATGGAGCAAAGCGGCAAACTGTTATTCAGCATCACAATTGCACTCCACAGAATCTCTCTCTTAAAAAAAATCCAGATTCTCAGAACTATCATAAACTTAAATTCTCAAACTTTACCTCATTTTGTAACTAAACCAAACTTTTTCCTAAGCAGCAAGCACGAGAATGAAATTTTAAACTTCCCATCACAGACTCTATTACCAAATAAGCATTACATCGTTTGAAACCAAATTTTGTCATTTACAAAAAAAAAAGAAGCAAAATCAAAGACATAAAGCCAATCTCTTGATTTCCACAAGATCATAAATTCAAAAACTTCCATAAATTCTCAAACCTTACACCATTTATTTACCTTCTCTTCCTATAATTATAATTAAAACTAAAGTAAACTAAGCTAAACTTTCCCCAGTTTCCAAGCAACCAAGTTATACTTAAATTCCCAACTTTCCATAATTTTCTCAGTAACCAAACACAACCTCAACTACAATCCCGCAAAATCACTCAAAAACCCAACTTTTCCTTCCATATTACAAAAAAAAAGAAGCTCAAACAACTAATTGAAAAAAACAAATTCATTGATCGCAGAATCAAAAGAAGAAGAAAATGTTTAAAAATTTACCAGTTTGAGGATCAAAGCGAGACCAGAGCTTAGTTCGACAGGTGTAATCAGCAGCAAGAATCCGTACCCAAACCCGTTCTTCTTTCCCTCCATTATCCTTATCTACTGCTTTTAAAATCGAACCGGCAATACCCGGGACTAAAAGAACCGGGTCAAGACTCGGGTCCACATAAGGCTGTGGTTTTTTTATCAAGTTCAGCCATAGCTCTACCGATCGAACAATGTCTTCTAGTAACATAGCCATGATTGATTGTCTGATTGATCAGAAACCCTAATTCCCGTACGAAATTGAGAATAATTGGGAATTTTTTGAGGGAGAATTGCAATTTTGTGGATTTTGGGGGCTTTTTAGGGCGGAGACTTGAAGGCAAAGGAGAGACGGAAGTGGAGAGCAAAGCTTCTTTCAAGTCAGTCCTCGAGCTATGATATATTTTTTAATTTTATAATGTTTTGGCAATTTTATTGATACAACTATCATGGACTAATTTCCAATTGATATAATTGATTAACGTTTCTTAACACAAATAATTGGTTTGTGTTAATTTTCTTGTGCCCCCACAAATTATTGTTTTTTAATAAATTATTATAGTTTAAGTGTTAGACAATTTGTTTAAGAATCTAAATCATCTCAAATAAAGATGTTATAATAAGATAAGGATTTTAAGAAATTATACATGTAAATTATTATATTCATGTTATAATCACTCCTTTTGATATTGTTTTCTAACTTTATCTAAAAATACATTTGTTTTTTAATTTTAAAAGCTTTTAAAAAATTTTAATCTTTTTATTTGAATTCCTATATTTTAATATTTGTAGGTCGATGTGGTTTTGAATTAATATATTTTAATATTTGTAGATCGTGATAATATCTAAAATAAATTTAAAAAAATAAAAAATAAATATTATTTTAATATATTTAAAAAAAATAACTACTACTATATATTATTTTAATATATTTAAAAGAAAAATAACTAGTACTGTTTCATTCTTGTCTTTTATTGAAAGTTTTGTTTGTAAACATTCGGTATATTTATTTTCGTTAGATTGCATAATGGATTTTGTTTTTTTGTTTTACTCTTGAACATGTTGATGTAGCCGTGAGAGTAATAATAATTTTTTTATAAAATATTTTTTATCTATTCTTAAATATCTTCTAATTAGGTTTAGAATTATCAAATCAGTTCAGGATCAAACTTGAGTGATTATAAACATGTTGGGTTAACTTATAAATTAATAAATTTATTTAAATTTATTTAAAAAATATTTTGATCAACTTGGATCAAATCTACTAAATCATAAATTAAGCCATTGAATTAATTAACTTTCAAAACAATTAAAAAAAAAAACCCTTCCTATAGTTTATAAGTAAGTGTCAAATTTAGTAGTATTATGGTAAATTCATCACGGTTAATTAGACTTGATTGTTTGCTGAGAAAATCAAGTACTTTCTCGATAAAAAAAACTGAAATTTGACCCTAAAAACTCATAAAAAAACAATAAAGATTTGTTAAATTAAGAAGATAGAAACACCAAATTAATCTTTGTGCCGAAGAAACAAATTAAGAAGATAGAAACACCAAATTAATATAGGGACAAGAAAAGAAGAAAAGATAGTGAGGGAGAAAACGTAGAGAAACAAGAAAGAAAACCCACAAAAATATAGGGAATAAAAAGCAAAAGCAAATTAGAAAGAAAAAGATCTATCAATTTCGAACACAGAAGGAACAAAGAAACTGGACCTCAACAGAGAGAGAAAGAGACAAGGGAAGGGAGATCTGTGAAATGAAGGAAAATTGGAAGAATTTTCGACCGTTGTGAAAGACGGTGCCGTTTTTCCTTTAAATTTTATAAAAGCGGAAGACGGGGAGAGACTCCTTGTCAATTTGTTGATTAATGGGCCTGAGTTTCTTAAATGGGCTACACCTTTCACTTCAAATGTGATAACCAAGCCCATGAATAAACCTTCTTCCTATCGGAAATCAATTCCCACTGGCTGCTTCTTTTCTTTTGGGTATTCACCTAAACATTTGTTCCTTCGACCTTTTCTTTTTCTCATTAATTTACTTTATATATATATATATATATATAAGCACTAATTACTACGAGAAATAAAAGGAAATAGATTCATGGTGTAACAACTAAAATAATAAAAATAATAAAAAATATTTTTAAAAACAATATCCATTATAATATCTCTTCTAATTAGTTAAATCTTAATATTTAATGCTTCACTAAATGTCATTTCATAAGTGAATGATGCCCATGGAGATATAAAAACTTCCATGAACCACCACACACTCACATTGCGGGTTTAATTCTTAGATAAATTTAATTAGTAACTATATATAAGTTAATAAGATATATAATTTATGAAAACTCACGAGATAGATCACTAGCAAGTAGACTAACAGTTTCCTCCCGCTAGAATCTTGAATTCTGTACGAAGATCGATAAAAATATGAATTCAATCTATTTTATAAATTAAAAACAAAAGAAAATAATTTTATATTAAAACTATTAACTCTAGGAACACGCCACCCAAGGGACTCAAAAAACCAAATCTCAGACAGAACACTGAAAATATTTAAAATAGTACAATCATGAATAAATACTGCCATATATTCATAAAAAAATCAACTAATTAATTTGCAATTTGGTCCCTGTATGTTCTATATATCAATTACGCAATCCGACGGTCCAAAAAGTCAGCCGGGACCAGTCATTAGTCGACGGTGTGAGGTTACATCAGAGGGGTTTTTTTATTTTTTTTGGTGATTATGGTTTTGGATATCAATTAAATAAAACTAGATAAAATGTAGAGCTAGTGGTGTATGATCTATAGTACAAAATAGGATGCCGATTAGATTTTTTTTTTTTTCCTCTCTTTTTATCCAATACCAATTCTGTTATTCTAAGAAAAAGAGGATGCGTTGCTTTCATTGGTCAACCATAAAATATTTAATTGATCACATCAATCTATTAAAAAAAGAAATATTTAATAAAGAAATATGATTTTATTTACACTTTATGCTTTTAAGCTTTTCTTATAATATTCTTTTGGGGTGGGATTTATATATTTTCAAATTATTTAATCAAACTTTTGCCCAAAACATTTCATGAATGGATTGGGAAAGAAAGCAAATAGTTCCTTTAACGATTCAACCTTACAGTGCTGATGTGTCGACCCTCGAGACGTCTTCTTCTCCAAGACTTTGATATATACTTCTAGAACCCTAACATGCATAAAAGAATCTTTAGTCCATCTGTGGTGCTTCGCCATTATTGAGAAAAAGAATAGAAAGGTACCACACAGCTCCACAAATGGGGAGCCAATGTAAGGTCATGTAAGGGTCGATCTCAGAATGAAAAGGACTGCAAAAATTAATACTTTGAGCACTTTGCTTTACGTAATTCTCACACTTCAGGCCATGTTTCTTAGGATATATAGCTCACTATCTATAATTAAATTATTTGACTAATAAGAGAGGAGAAATTGAGTGAAAATTACGTACAAAGCAATGGAAGATTAATTAGGAACCAATCAATCCAAATTTAGATAATTGGAAATTATAAGTAAGAAAGGATTGGAGTGCTTAATCTTCCAATCCCTCGTTGGATCTCTATCGTTTTTGTCGATCAATGGATGCATAAAGTCTCTCTCTTCTTAATCGTCCTTCCATTGATTCCTTGTGATAAAAAAAAAGAAGAAAAGAAAAGAAAAAAGTGTAAGGTCGAATCTTAGAACCTTCAAGAGTGTGGGGCATATATAGGAGTGATTTTGTTTGAAAAATAATTTAAAGATTTTAGGTTTTCTACCGTGCACATGGATTTGTGATTCTATATTCTTTACATTAATAATAACATAATCTCATAATTTTTTGAGTTCAAACTATATTAGAAAAAAATTATTAAATTTATCTAAATATGTCACATCGATTTGCGGTAAAATTAAGGTACAGTTTTTAAATTGTCTAACGAAGATCTTTAGTCTTGATTAATGAAAATTAATACTCTCTATCATGGTAAAATAATAATAATAATACCATTTTAAGCATGGAAGAATAATTTAACCGATTTTCTGGTCACATTTACAGCATATATATATATATATATATATGGATTTGAACTCGAAATCCTTCCTTCGTACCGGTCACATTTACAGCATATATATATATATTCGGATTTGAACTCGAAATCCTTCCTTCGTAACTTGCAATCTCTACAAAACATAAACCAAGTGTTTCAAAGATCGGTTCCAATATTCGGCTTTGCCTAATTACTAGGAAAAAAAAAAAGAAAATTTGTCGGTAACCCTTTTTCCAGATTTTATTAATATCTCTTGTCACTGCGGTTAATGCATCTTAATCATTATCCTAAACATAGATTAGAACTAAACATGTTTGCCATGGTCATTAGCGAAAGCATCATTGCATTTAATTATATCATGATCAGCATAGGAAACATAGAAACACAATCACATTGCATGGACCCCCACAAAGTCGTTAATTGGAGAAAATATCCCACTTAATTAATTATATATATGCTCTCCAAGAGACACGTCTGAACTTCTTTTCAGAATCGTGTCTCAAATATGTATTTACAATTTTACACAAATATACACAGACACTATTTACAATGCTTATGTTTGGTATGTATTAATAAGATATTTTTTTATGATGTTTAAAGATAAATAGAAAATATTTTATTAATAAAGTTCACTGTAATTTATAATTTTTTCAATTGTATTTGTTAAATTTTTTATAATGTCGATTAGCACATATTAATAATATTTAACTACAACGAATTTGATTATTTTTTTTTGTATGAATATAAAATTAAATACAAATGAAAAAAAAAGAAATAGAAAACTAATTATTTCAAAAACGCGAGAAAAACTAACTATCTTTTGAAGTGTATCTTTTCTTCACATGTAAAAATAATTCCTTCAATAAACAACTAATCTCCTTAACTCTCTTGAATAATAATAATAATAATAATAATAAAAACATTTGTTGTGTTTGTTTTGTATAATAATTATAGAAATTAAAATCTCTACAAGTTTTATTCATGACCTAATCTCTTTATGATCAAACAAATTAAATTTACAAGGGCTAAAATCAAATTAAATTTTTAAAAAGGTCCACATATCTAAAACAAAATCTAAATTTAAAACATTTATGCACATAAAAAAGCATTTCTAAAAACATTTTAAGATAAGAAGCAAAAGTAGAAAAGGAAATCAATCGATCCTATTAGGAAAGAGAGTTAGTCATGACGTAATGCTTTGGTAAAAATATCATTATTTGATTTGTAGAAGAAATATAAGAAATAATGATGATCTTGGAGCTTATATGTTATCGAATAAAATAATAATCAACCTTAATTTGTTTTGTTCA